AGCAAGATAAATTAAATCAATATCATTTCGAAGTAAAGATAATTTATGATTTTTCATTCCCATAATCATGTATTACTTTCCTTCATGTTGATCATAATTTCACAGGCTGTTAATTCTCCTCGTCACCCTGCGGGTCATTTATGGCCATCCCGAGGGCCACGCTTGGCCCGCATCTTCCACTGTGTATGAATAATGGATTTATGTATTGCATATATGTATATATATATGTGCGCATGAGTGAGTGAGTGTGTGTATATGTGTGTGTGTGTATACGTGTGTGAATACATGAGTTTATATACATGGGCATGTGTATATATAAATATAAATATATATGTATATATATATATATATATATATATATATATATATATATATATATATATATATATGTATGTATATGCGTATGTGTACATATACATACGTATATAGTGTATATACATGTATATATATAATATATATCATCATCATCAGCCTGAATCAATCCACTGCTGGACGTAGGCCTCTCCTAATCTTTTCGAACCCTGTCTGTCTTGCAATTTTTGTTTCCAGTCTTGGCCCCATATTTCGTTATTTCGTCACGTCATCTTGTAATTGGTCTGGCCCTTGGCCTCTTTGTGTTATCTATAGCCCTGTCTGTGACTTTCTTTGTCCATCTGTCGTCTTGTCCCGGACATATATAACCTGTCCATTGCCATTTCTTCTTTTTGATGTTCACAATTATATCTTCCACTTTTATCTGTTCCCTGGTCCATGTCGCCCTCATCCCAGCTTCAACCTTTCCATCCCTCTCTGGGCACTTATTAGCTTCTCCAGTAATTTGGTTATAGTCCATGTTTCTGATCCATAGGTCATAAGTGGGAGGACGCATTGGTTAAAGACATCTTTTTAGACGTGATGGCAAGGAGCCTCTTAGAAGGCTACTACGTCTGCCGAAGGCTCTCTAGTCTAGACTGACCGGTCACTTTATTTCAGCTTCACTAGATGTGTTACACAAGGTTAGTTGAAGTGTTCACAATTCAGTTGGGAGGGAGGGGAGTGGGCAGATATTAAAAAATCTTGCTTTGCCGGGAAATTGAAGGTTCTAATGCTTGATAAGCTAATTAATATAGATGTTAAGTCCATATAAATTGAATTGTGATATTGTGTTCTCTCACATGAAGAGACAGAGTAAGAGCATGAGGAAAGCTTGTGGCCAGGACGTTTTTTATTGTCTTTTTTTCTCCCTTATGGTGTGGATACAGAATTAGTTAGAGGAGACAATTCCGAATGTGTCAAAGAATGAATTTTGAAAGGAATAATAGATCAAGGTAAAGTGTAGGAAGGAAAATCATGAAACAAGTGTAGGATTGATTACTTATTCGACCAAGTAAAAACTGCGGAAAATTCCAGGGACTTGGAATGTGTATCGATCCTGTCTCACTTTTATGTTTATCTTATTATCTCTATGATTACTATTGATTTTCAATTAGTAGGCAAAGAGGGGATGTAAAGTTAAAGTTAACTGTAGATTTGTATAATTTAATAGAGGAATACTCTTGTCATTTTCTGATATTTATTATTTCTAACATTAAACCCATTTAATATGCCATTTGTTATATATTAAAGAATAAAATAAATCGATTAAAGTATTTTTATGACCGTTATATCTTCAGCACACGAGCCTTAAGACCATTAATTCATGCTACTCACATTAAAACTTGGTAAGTCAAAAGTGGATTTTCTCGGGGTTTCCTTCAACCCAAAACCCCTGGGGGAGGGAGGGCAATACCAAAGTAAATTTATCAGTATTTGTATTAAAATTGATCATGACAAATTGGCAGCAGTAATTTAATAGAATAGATTTTAGAGTTGTAAATGAAAAATTTTCAATACGACACACACAGACACACATATATATAAATAGATATTTACTCACACACACACACACATATATATATATGTGTGAAAAGGAAAACAGTCACTGTAAGAAATGAAAACAAATCGTAACATTTCGAATTCTTCACGAGTTCCTCTTCAGACGAATAATATTTTGACAAAAATATATAGTGGTATGGAGACAGAACGAACAAGAGCTGGATCAGGTCTCAGGAGGAGGGTCAAGGTAGAAGAGTCTGGGGAAGGCTTTGCTAACTAACAAGGAGGTAAGGTCATCCAAGCCTCATTGACCTGCACTCAAGTTAAGTTCTTACTGTGGACATTTTCCTTTTCATCTTAGTGTACACGTTCCTGTGATTGCGTTTTGTTATGTATATCACTGACACACACACACATATAAGAATATATATATTTTATATATACATATATGTATGTATAGTATATGTATATGTACACACACACACACACACACACACATATATATATATGTATGTATGTATGTATATGGGAGCCGTCCCTCAATAACAAGGGCGACAGGATCGATTTTAACAACTGCCGCGGTATATCCCTCCGGTGCATCGTTGGCAAGATGTTTTCCAGAGTGGTACTGAAGACATTTCAGTTG